GTACTATCTCAACAAAATCTGCCCAAATACAAATTGGTGTGGAAGCAACTTATTGCCAACTAAAGAACCAGAGCTTTGACTCCTTGTTTGGATATTAAGGTTTGGTGCTTCTCTCTCAGCAAACAGCATGGGATAGCAAGGGATAGCATGGGATAGCAAGCAACAATCAAGGTGGTGTGCAATCATGATAAGAGATTATAGACCATAGGAGTTTCAACCTTAAGACCTAGAACTGAGACCATCCTAGGATGAGATGTGCAATGCAGAGAAGCGATGTAATCTGCATTTCATTAATCTTTGAGTTTTTTCTTTACAACCAATTCAGAGCTAATAAACCTCAGCCTTGAAAGCGTAGTTATGAAGTTAAAAAGTAACACTGCGTATTCTGTAAAATCCTGTGCATTTTCACGACAGCTATCAGGTTGAACCATGTGAAACTGCCAATATTTATGGGTTTTTTTTTTCATCTATAAGGATAGCAATTTCAAACAAATATTCTGTGAATGTGGGGGATGTCTAGCCAAATTTAGAAACATAACACTAATAACTTCTATGTATTTACATATTTATGTCTTTGGTTTTCACTCATGTTAATAGCCTTTAAAATATTGCTTACTTCTCACAACATGAATACATGGAGCTGTAGAAAAAAATATTAGTACTCTTGAAGATAACCATAGACAAATGAGCTTAAAGAGATACACCTTTAAATCAAAACCGCAAGAATAAAATATCAACTGACATATAACAGAGACTCCAAAATGGGAATTAATACTTGCTTTAGTTATAGTATTACAACTCACTGAACTAGTGAAACAGACCAAACCATTATAAAGAGTTCTATGTTCTAAATTTGATTCTGTCTTATCTATATTATGAATTGGCTATGAAATCACAAATGTAGTTTGTTGGGCCTCAGTTTTCCTACTTGTGCTGCAAGGGGCTGGAACTGGGCTCTGGCCAATCCTGCTCTGTTGCAATATACTCTGACTTATGTTACTAACGAGGCACCATCATTGAGTGACCCCTAGAGAGGAGGAAACTCAAAGTGCACCTCAGGATGTCTCAGATTTGTATTTAGATTTAAATGGAATTCATCCCATAGAAACTAGAAAAGAAATTTTCCAGAGGAAAGCAAGAGTTAGGCTAAGCAAAGCTCTAACAGTCACGTTGGCCTGAGAACAGTCGAAGCTAAGAAGGAAGGTCAGCTACAGAAAAGAATAAAAAATAAATAGCATGAGTCTGAGATATAAAAGTCAAAAGACTGCCGAATAGGTGTCAAGCAGCTTGTGAACTGTTTTGCCTATGAGTGAATGCCCCTTAGAAATACAAAGACAAGGAGTCTAGCATAAAAATGGGCTCCAATTTGTCCTCTCACTAGAATCAGTCTTCTATAAACATAATGGCCTGTATTTATACCAATATGGGCAAGTTAACGAAAATAAAGTTTCTTCTTAAAAAATAGAAAGCCTACTTTTATTTGTAACACTTTGACTCACAGCAACTCAGTATAAAATCTATCTTTCCTAAAACCTATGATCATGAAGGTAATTGTGAAGGAATTTATAAAAAAGGAAAACCATGCACAAATGAAAAGCAAGCAGAGAGAAAATACACAGTGGGAAAGCAATAGAAGTAATTAAAGTGGAGATATTTTACTGCTACCTTGTAGAAAGTATATTCCCTTTTCACAAATTTTCCTTCTAGTAAAAAGAAAAATATAAAATTGATTCCTTACCAGAATAAAATTGATACTATGTTTTGGAAAGGAAATGTCGAGCTATGACAGGCATTTTCCAAGCTGATTTCCTCTTTTAACATTATTGCCAGAAAATTAGATTTCCATTTTTCTTTGTCTAGTCATTCATGGTCTTTCATGAAGATTTGCATGAAAATTAAAGAGCTGAAAAATTCAGCTGAAAAATAAAGCAACTGGAGAATTTATATAGATGCCTATCAGTCACTGAAAGTATGTATAATGTTACAAAGGAATAATTAGACCAAATGTCTATATTTTGCAAAGATTTCATTTTGTAGTTAGATTTCCATGCATAAGTTATCACAGCTGTAAGATAACAACTCAAAACCATGCATATCATACTTTCAAATGAACAACCTGGAAAACTATAAGCTATTAATTCCCCACTATTATCTGTGGTTATGTGTGCAAAAAGGTGCAAATATGTTCCTAAAATCTTTTGAGCTAATTTTATGGGCACAATGCATTTTCTTCTCTGATGAAATAGATCATTTTATAAAACATATATAATAAAAAAGTTCCCTTTGGAGCAAGCCAATCAGACAACAATCATGAAGATAACTCATTGTGTAGAGATACAGGGTACGTATTTTCAAGTATACCATGTAAACAACACAAATAGCATCTGTCCCTGATTGATGTCAATCCTACTGGATTGTGAAATCTCTAAAATAAAGACATTGTACTATCCCTTCTCTTGTATAATCTATACAGGCTATTTTAAATTGTCATATTAATTTACACAATGCTGAGAATTAATTTCCAGAGCTCTCTTCAAATTCAAAAGGAATTTTGGTTTGGAATGCACCACTGAATTGTAAACCACGAGAAGGCAGAAGCTCCATTTTTCTCATTTCTATCTTAATGCTTTCATGTAGCAGATCTTCAGCACACACTTGTGTGATCAAGTCAACTATTATAGTCTTATCTGATAAAGGAACCCATTTTATATTTGGATAGACAGGCCTCACTTTCTAAGATACACACACACACACACACATACATATACACATATGCACGTACGTACATACATACACAAGAGATCTCAGTTATAGGCTACTGTAGTTTTTGTTAGTTAAGGCAATGTCATTTTAAAACGCACATTAGGATTTTCTAAAACCTTTTAATAGCTGACAATATACATACTAGCTCCTGAATACACATATGCAATAAAAACTGCACTTCAAGAAGCAATGGAAGAGGGGCCACTTATTTATTTATCAGAGTGTTTGGCAAACTATAGAAAGTGGGCCAAATCTGGCGCATAAGGTAACAATGGATTTTACATTTTCAACTGGGGAATATTTAAAGAGTACTGTTCATGTCATGTAGGAAAAATATGAAATTCAAAATTCAAGACCCATAAATAAAGTTTTATGGTAACAGCCATCTCATTCATTCACGTATTACTTGTAACTACTTTTCTGCTCCAAGAGCAAAACCAAGCAGTTGCAAGAGACTATATGAACTAAAAGCCTAAAATATTTCCTACCAGTGCTCTACATAAATAATGTTTACCAATCCCTTTGCTAAATGGTCAGAACCTTCCCTATTATCTGGAGTAAACAAACAAAGAAACAAAAAGGAAACGGTAGCACAAAACAACTAGTACAGCATGACATGTCACTAAACTCTATTCCAGAGTGAACCAAAAGCAATTTGGGACATTTTATAATTCCAAGATATACGTGTCTTGGGGAAAGGATTTATCCCTTCTGGGTCTGTAAATAATGTTTCAGTTCTCTATTTCTTTGATCCCTGTTGTATGATTTTATAAGAACTAAATTGATTTTGCACTTGAATATATTAACATATATTTCCATCTGATACCCCCAAAAGCCATATGATTGGCAATAGGAATTCTGTCTGCAACCCAGAGCTCTAATTCTCCATTGGAATATAGTCTCCAAGGAACCACCTGATTAAACGTCCTGATCAGCCTTACATAAAACACCATATAGCTATGAAATGCAAAACTTTCATACTGAAAGTAAATGATGAAATCCCTTCCAGCCAGAAAGTATATTAAATGCTCAAATAGCTTAAAGTCCTTTGAAGAGAGAGCATGAGTGTTTCTTATCCTCCTGCTGTTCCCCACACACTGAAGACAACGGATACTCAGCAAGTGCCTCCTGTCTATCAGAGCTGTACTCCAGACACCTCAACCACATTCATATTTATTAAAGAAAGAAATAAGGAATCCTTTTCATTATACTTATCATATTCCTGTAATAGCTAATAACATCAGAGAAAACTATTATTGATTGTTCATTTACCCTTTATTTAAAAGGTCATCTTTGCCTTAAAAAGGTAATTTTTGGTTTCATTTATTTTTGCCTAAAACATTAAATGTTTGGGTTTCTCAAATGTGCATATATATATGCCATGTGATAAAAATATGAAATTCAAAATTCAGGACCCATAAATAAAGTGTGTGTGTATATATATTCTATCTATCTATGTTCATTTATCTATAGAAACTCTGTCAATACTTCTAGCACATATTCAATTAAGTGATTATTCTTAAGACAAGTGATTATTCTTAATCACTAAAAGGTAAGTGTAAAGAGAGTCCTGATTGGTCAACTTTTCATTGATTTATAAGAGTTATTCTATTCTTGTTAGTCATAAAACAATTAATATCATCAAAGATCCAAGAGTCAAGGTGGAACTTAATATATAAATTGGCTATGTGTATATGCTAATCTCTCCTGCTCATATAAAAACGTGGTGCTAGAAGACAGTCTAGAGCAAGGATGCTCAAACATGGCCACATGGTATTACACTGTCCTTCTGCACTTGGGACATTTTCCCAAGGAACATATAGTGGGTCTCTGAATCCTTCTCCACAAAGCACTCAAACAAGTCATGGTGTAGCAAAACCTCTTCACTCTCTAAAGTCTATGGTAGTATTCCTAAAAATGGATTGTGCATTTCAGGAGATGAACAAAAATCCATCAGGATGAAATAAGATTTTATGTTTTTAAATATACATGTTATTACTATAATCAAGCATTAGTAACTCTGTTAGTATGAGTTTGTTTTTAATTTCAAAACAGACAAAACTTGTCAAAGAGAAGATTATGATAAGGCACACAGAAAGCTCAAACTGAAAAATAAGTGCCACAACAACTCATCTGAAGCTATTATGATCTGCTACACTGCCCATCAACATTCTATTGCTGGTGTACATAAGTCACGCTTGCCCATGCCTCCTTGAATGACAGATGGACACACTCACTGTTTCTGAAGTAAGTGCTGGTGCTGTTGCTGCTGCTGCTGCCTGTATGTTTCAATCGTGTGCTGTGGAAGGTACTGCATCAGCTCCAGAGACTCTTTGATCTTCAATAGCATTTCATAAGTCTCTCGGCCCCTCACCTATGTAAGCGAGGAGAAGGAAAGATGGGACAATGAAGAACTGTAGAATTGTTAGAAATGCAGTCAGTCTTCCTTATGCATGGATTCTGTATTTGTAACTTCACCTGCTTATTAACATTTATGTGTGACATGAAAATCAATACTCTTGGCACTTGCAATGGTCATTCACAGACACGCATGGTGATGTAAAGCTTGCGTCACCTGTGCTTACTCCCAGCTGAGGGTGAACAAGGAGAAGGACTTCCTTCTTGTTGCTGCTCTCATGTTTCGAACAATGTCCTTTTCATGGTCTGTTTAGTAGCACAGATTTCACATTTTTGTTCTTTTTGTTGGTAATTTTGCTGTATTAAATGTTCCTAATACAATGCTAAAGGGCTGTTTTATGTCCCTATGTGCAAGGCCATGCTGTGCTTTTTGGAGAAAACACTTGAGTTAGATAAACTTCATTCCAGACATCAATTATAGTGCTGGGGGCCAGGAATTCAATGTTAATGAGTCAAAGTATATATTAAATAGGATGTCTTTATACAGAAACACATGTAACACCTGGTTATGTACTGATCTGTTGATGTAATGTTGGGACCAGAGATTCACAGGAACCTAATCTTTTATTTCCCCTAGGAGCAATGATTAACTATTCATAAATATAGTTTTCATAACAACTTCATAAAACATAACTACCATAAGAAACAAGAATCAACTCTGGAAGGACGAAAAGTTTTCAGCAGAGACAAAATGTGCTTCCTTTTAAAAGAATCTCTTAAAAGCTTAAAAATGTTAAGACAAAGGCCAGGAACAGGATGAGGTGAGCAGGGTACTGAGTGTGAGTGCCTATTTAAATTGACATTGCTAGGTACTTTGCCTGCTTCAACCCAGTCCCCAACCTGAGCAAGCAGTGCAGAATTGACCAGAATTTGAAAATGGACTCTCTCCCTTGTGCTGGATTAAATCCCAGCCCTGGGGGCCCTTCACTGAGCAGCTTTGCCTGCCCTTCCTCCTTTGGTCTGCAACCTGATTTCTTCCTGTCCATAGCTCCAGCCTCACTCCACTGAGGCATGTATCTCATTACCTTGTAACTGCCCATGTGCTCAGTGGAAGACTAGCTCTCTGAAGGCAAGAACTGTGTCCTACTGCTCTCTAATTGCCCAAGGACTGGCCCATTTCTCCCTTAATGAATACCACGAAACACATGCTGAATTGATAGAACTGTTACCCCCACCCACACATGCACTTAAATTTTGCTTAAAACATGTAACCCATTACAGGGTACTTCCTAAATTAAAATTTCACTAACTTTTCAGAGAATTCCCATGTTATAGGCTGAAAATAGTATTTTGGGATATTTAATATATCAGGGTAATGTTTTACCTAAAGGTCACAAATCCATTGCCATAAGTAGCCTGAGAAACAAGACACTGAGAAGCTCAGCTGATTCGATGTTTGACTGGTTGATTGGTTGACTGGTTGTCTGTTGCCCAAGGGCCAGACCCGGGAAGGTGTGAAGCAAGATGTGACACACCTAAACCTGTTGAGTGGCTTTAGCTTAGATCCCAGGGCGGCAGCTCACAGTGGCTCTCTTGGCCCAGCGTGCCTGTCTCATGTCACTTAGATGGCATTTAGGACTATACTGGGCACCAAAATTTATTGCCACTCTAGATGACAAAGACCTAAGATAGTAGAAATTCAATGAACTACAACCATAATCTAATTAAGTAAGGTTATTAGTGACCCTGAGAACTGGGCCAAGCCTCTGACTATTCACATATAATTGAAGATTCTGCCTTGCTAGACTGTTTTTTTTTTTTTTTTTCTGGTACTAGTGATTAAACTCAGAGGCACTATACCACTGAGCCATATCTGTGGTTCTTTTCATTTTATTTTGAACAATCTTGCTAAATTGCCCAGGCTGGCTTTGAACTTGTGATCCTCCTGCCTGAGCTTCTCCAGTATCTGGGATTACATGTGTGCACTCACTGTACCTAGTTGCTTGGCTTCCAATATTACACTCCCGAAAAAGAATATGAAAGTTCCCAACACCTAGAAATGATTAATGCTTGAGGAAATGGAGTGTTTACTACCTTGATTTGAACATTATGCATTGTACACAATGTATCCAATTATAATGTACCCCTTAAAGAAGTATAAATATTATGTCTCAATAAAAAATAAGGAATAACATTCAATATGTGATTTCTTAATTCTATAATTGCTATATTTCAACTTTGTGAACTGTTTCTGACAAAATTTGCATATTAAATTGTTGATGTCCACACTGTCTTATCATTCACAGATAATAAAGTACAAGTTTATTTTAAATATCTGGGATACAAAAATATTGTTAGGAGGGTATCATTGTTTGGGAGTTAAGATAAATAGAGAAGCTCATGCTATTAAAATATTTCAACTATGAAGCAAAAGGGTAATTTCTTGAATTTAAAAAAAATAGATATATTCTTTTTGCTTTATTTTGATACCTCCCCCTACACATTATGGACTGAACATTTATGTCTCTCCATAAACTTCATACCCTAACCCTCAAAGTGATATTAGGATGTGGGGTCTTTGGTAGGGTATATAGATCACTTAAGTGGAACCTTCATGAAGATTAATGCCCTCATGAAAGAGACTCGGGAGAGCTCTCTGGCCTTCTGTACACCTGTGGGCCATGAGATGAAGGCAGTTTGCAACTCAAGCCTGACAGGAGGGCACTTTGATTTTAGACTTCTGATCTCCAAAACAGTGAGTAATAAATTTCTGTTATTCATAAGCCATCTCAGCTATGTTACCTTGTTGCAGCTCCAAATTGACTAAGATAGCTTCTATCTCACCACCACAGATAATTGGACAATTACCGTTAGTGAAAGAGATTGGTAAAATAAGGCAATCATGAACATCCACAGGAGACTCACTGGTAGATATAACAGCTCATCATCTGGGGATCTTCGTTTCTTGATGGATGTCATCTGGATGCCATGTGTGTTCTGACGAAAAGCTGGTGGAAGAAAAAGGCAAGTTTCATCCTGGGAACATTTGTGAAGCAAATGATATACATTAAACATATTGAGTTATTAATATTAATATTCATAACGTTTAATAACACATGCTGAACAAACATGTAGCTCCAGCAACACCCATGACATTGGTCCTAAGCATCCATTTAATTGGTGATGATTATTTTTACATTAAATGAAATTTTACCAATAATGGGGTAGGGAAAGGTTGGAAGCCATAAGTGAAAGAAGGAAATTCAGGATGCTGGGAAATGTCCTTTAGCTTAAGTTATGAGGCAAGAAACCTCTGCTTTGCTCGTGTGTGTAAAGAGTTATTAGGAAAAGAAAGAAGAATCACTTCTGCATTTCATATTTTAGGTCATTTATTTCCCAAAGAGGCAAATGAATGTTACATAGACTGTCTTGATAATGGTAAAGTGAGGGAATTAATGGGTGTTCAAGTCCTAAGTTTCCCAAAATTAAAAGTGATACCCATTCAGGATCCAGTGGACAGAGACTATCCTTCTACCAAAAATCAGTCTATTCTTACTTGAAATCATTAATTTATAGAGAGAGTACTTAGGGAAGAGTTAGGAACTATCCCTTCAGGCAGGCTAAAGAGTACACTTAGAATGGAAATATTTATCTACCTATATCATATATATGATTTTTTTGAGGAAAGATCAGAAAAAGGGAGAGCTCCATAGAAAAAGCATATCATACTAAACAGAAGTTGATGGTGATGAATTTGTAAAGTATAATACAATTTTTAAATTTTTCTGGATACTAATCAGTGACGATTAAACCCTTTTTAATAAAATAAATCATAGTGTACTGGTGTACTTTAAAATACTTGTAGTGCTATCCAGCTTATGCAAGTATACCTTCTAGAATCAAATTTTACCACAAGTGAGAAACACATAGGGGGTCATTGGTTTTCAAACCCTGTCATTTTGAGTTCTAAGACTCTATGCAGTGGCTGCAGGTAGACCATGGACCTGTCGACCATCCCTTCAGCCTGAATAGCTCTGCTTTCATTGATTCTACATTATAGGTTCCTTGAAATATTTTATTTGTTAAAAAGCTTCCAATGATTAAAAATCAAGTTTGAAAACGTGAAATTACTGAGGCCCCAAGAGGGTCATATGTGTGAAGTCAAGACTCAATGAGACCCAAATCTACAGAGCCCCATACTGTGCCTGGCAAAATTCGTCCACAAATATTACTGTTCTCATAGTCATGACATGGGCAGTGCTATTTTAGGCCTCATGCTTAATAGTAGGAAGATAAATTGATACCAACAGGATAGATACTGGTTCTCAAACTTTGGATATCATTAGAATCACTTGAATTGCCAGGCTGCACACCCAAAATTACTGATAGAGCAAGTCTGAGGCCTGGAAATTTACATTTCTATCCAGTTTCTAGATGATGTTGCTGCTACCTGTGTGTTGGTCACCTTCTAAGGACTCTTGTACTAAGAAATCTGGGCACAGACTGTGTTTGTAAAGCCACAGTGTTACACCTGGGATTCACCTCAGTGCCTCCAACAGGTTATGCCTTCTCTCACCGACTCTCAAGTCATATTTGCTGCTGATGTACACAGGTCTCACCCTACAGCTTCTCCAACGTCACCCCAACCCTTACATCTGGAGAAGACTCAGTCCTACCCCACGGGCCACTACATCTACTTACGGCGCTTCGTACCATCGCCGTTCTTTGTGCTGTCCGAAACTTGCTGCTTCCTGATGCTGTCTTCGTCTGCCTTCCTGTCTCTTCCTGGGCAAGCACAGATCCGGGCCTCGAAGCAACGGCGGCCCAGGACCTGCCCACTAGGAATCAGAGAAGAGAAGAGGAAGGGGTTAAAGTCAGAGAATTTAAAGGCCTCCTAGAGTCCTCCCATTTCTGTCCCCACTGCACATGGGCACCCTCACCACCCGTTCCGCGTGGCTGCTCTGAGGAAGGACCCGGAGCACTTGGCAGAACACGAAAGTGCTTCCATGCCACAAGCAATATTAGTAAATAACATTCCATTTGTTCTGCAAAGAACCTCCAAGCCATTAGCAGAACAGCTGTATTTAGCTACATATTTTGAAGGAAACTTGAGTTAAGCCAGTGGATGTCTTAGGATAAAATCCCCTTAGGCAGCCCAGACTTACTCAAAGAAACTGTTAAATGCCTTGGGGCCACATGAAAACAAACACTGTCTAATCAAAAACAATTCCAGTCAAATGTCAAAAATTCAGGTATAAAGCAACTTATACACCTTCCCAGCTTTTCTTTCCCTTCTACTTTTACCCACCCCTCTTCTGTCTTCACCTTCTGTGATCTTTTATAGTTAGTGTTTACAGCAAGAATCTAAAGCACAAAGGACAAAATCAAGGGCAGCTCTCCACTGTGCATGCAAAGTTAATCATAAAACAGACAATTTCACTCTATCCTCTGCCTGTGATCATTTGTAGAATGACAGCTCTACACATGCCACTTACTCTCTGGTTTCTAGAGTAACAATGATTAAAATTGGACGGCGGTTCATCCCTCCAACACAACTGCTGTTACACATGAAATTGTATAAGACTGTCGTGAATTCAGTGCCAACCTGAGAACAGGAGAAAAAAAAAATCTGTATTAATGATAGTTGGAACTGATGTTCTTCTTTCTCAGGTTTTCCCTTTCTTGAAAGAACTCCATTTCTAAAGAAGGGAGAAGCTTCCTCCTAGGAAGGAAAACTCTGAAATCCATTGTAAATTCCTCTAGTCTTTGCCTTCTGGAAAGCTTCAAGCTAATGTTGGCAACATTGGACAAGACTTAGGTAAGATAAGCTTTAACAGTTCTTTGATCTTTAATCCCATTCATATACAAACAGAACCAAATCACCCAATTCAAATAGGCTATACCCAATACATTAATATCCCTGAAAGGGGAGAGCTAAAAAAAAAAAAATCACCCCAAAGAGCAGCACTGCTCCAAGGATATTTTTCTTAAAAAACAATATGACACAGATTTGATTATACAGTTCCATAACTAAGAACCCTGGAGCTTTAAAGTTCCTCCAAATTAAATAAAATAGTCTGAAGTGTCTAAAGTGCTCATTCACGGTTAAGGCAACAGAAGCCCAGAATAGAGAATCATATGCCAAAGATCCTCACAGCAAACCAAAGAACTTTAGTCTAGTTCCTCCTGTTGCTTTCCACTCCACTACTCTGCTCTACACAACAGATTGATAAACTTGCCCTTCCGTGAGTTGAATTTCAGCTAAGAGATTCCTTTTAGGGAGTCTCATTTATATACTAGTGTAAGAATACTTACATTCATTACTGGGGCATGTCCACTACCAATTGCCAGTTGGATAAAATAATATCATTTGTAAACCCATTTTCCAGTTCAATCGTTATCTGGATGGGAACATGAATGAGAACATGGGTATGGAGCCATGTTCCCAAGTTAATTCAGTACGTACTTAGGAGTTATGAAGGGGAGGCACATGGAAAAGAGAGACAGAAGGAATACAAAAAGTTGCATATTTGATGATAAATAAGGACTAAGAAAATGATAAGTGCCAGAAATACTCTGTCACCAAAACTAACACTTCAGAACTACCTCAGTCAGTTGGTTAATCATTTTTTCTTTTCTTTTTTACCTGGGGTGGTTCATAAGGTACCAGTACACTCTGTCTTCCTGTGATGGGGTCTTCTACATATTGGGCATGGCTGTTCCCTTCCACTCGAATCAAATGACTAGGAGGGGCAATCTGTCCTGCAGAACAACAAAAGACAAAACAGTTAGTTTGCTTACTCTCACAGAAAGAAGACAAAATGAAACCACATGGATAGCATTCTGGTGGCCAAAACAAAGAGGAAAAATATATGCTTGAAAAAAATATATGCAGGTGGATATCTCAATCTTGATGGTAGAAGGAAGGGCTGTAATGCTCTTCTCCAACTGAGGGAACAGTCCTTGCTTTGAAGTTTAAGGTTAACTATTCAAACTGTTATGAAATCGTATGACCACATCAATTACCTCATCCATGGAGAAGATTTTGCCATATTCCATTGAAAATGAAAGAAAACCAAGCAATGCTATCCCGAAGTCTGAATAGCAAAGATACTAAGTAAGAGGACTGGAGATATAGGTCAGTGGTAGAGCATCTACTTGGTATATGCAAGGCCCAGAGTTTAATTTCCAGCATGGCCAAGAAATCAAACAAAAAAACTAAATAAGAAGCAGAAGATTGCAAGGACACACATGACCTTCACTTTGCTTATTCCTTTCTCCTTTTCCATCTTAGACCTTGCTTTGGTTAAAAAGATAAGAAACTTGCTGGAAAAACTGTGTTGAAAGAGTCCCAGGTTGGAGACAAGAAAAGGCAAGCAAGTTTTAAAAGGAGCCAAGGCAAAGTCTTACAAAATTGTAATAGTTGGCAGGGCTCCAAAAGAAAGAAACTGCTCCAAGAATTAGCAGCTATAAAGCTGTTCTTACTTCTGCCTGTGTAGTTCTGTTATATGAAAATCACTGAATAAAAGTAAAAAGCTAAGTCTATCAAGATGTGCTCTTCAGCATCATCTATCTTGATCCAAACAAAACAACTATTATGTGAAAAAATTGAAAAATTTTTTTTAAAATCGTCTTTTTGATGGAACACAAGCATTTAGGTAAACTGATAATGAAGCCTATGTACATGGAATGTTCTTTATGCAAATTGTTAAGCAAAATGTAAAATGTGAAGGTGTGGCTAAGGCAGCCATGTGGGCAAGAACTAGGAACTAATGTGTGAAGAAGAGTTGTGTGAAAGAGAATTTGGGGTTTATTTTCTTCTTTTATATTTATCCATTCTCTTTCTTCCTTTAGCATTTTCCTCTATACTCAGATACACCTGCTCTATATTGACATATTCTAACCACCTACCAATATTGGTTTCTAATATTTTTCCATGAAGTATCCCAACTCCCAACCCCTTCTGTACCATCAGCAGGCTTTGATGATTCGTTATGTTTTCTCCTGTTTTTCTTTTCTACTTCTCTAATAAGTTTCCCATAAATCAGATCCAAGGGAACCCTTAGAGGTTCTACAAAGCTGTTGTGCTCAGAAGATGGGTGTGGTGCATATATGGACATAGGGCTTCAGTGAAGTCCTCCAGAAACTTGTGCTTGACTCCTGGTCCTCCATCTGATTACCCCATCTTAGGTTCTGGATCTTCCGTTTCCTCTCCTTACTCCTCTTACCTATTATTTTCCTTCTCATTTCTTTTTCTTCCCCATTTTCTCTTTAATATTGTTCATTATTTCTCCCCCCGCCCCCCGCTGCCCCCTCCTGCCCTTCCAGCTCTCCACTCATCTAGACTTGAAAAGCACAAACATTAAAGAACACTATAGCCTGGGCCAAGCAGAATAACTATCAGACTGTTCTGCTTACACCCTCTCATAAAACAAAAACAGCAAGAAAAACAAAGCAGAATAAAATGAAACAAAAGGAAGGAAGCAGTAAGGAGCAGAGAGACCAGTCTAGGTCATTCAGTAACCACTAATATTAAATTAAATAGTTTAAACACTGTAAAAACCACATTTTTGTTTTGTTTTGTTTTGTTTTTTGTTACTGGGGATTGAACTCAGGGCACTGGGCCACTGAACCACATCCCCAGCCCTACTTTGTATTTTGTTTAGAGAAAGTGTCTGAGATGCTTAGTGCCTCGCTTTTGCTGAGATTGGCTTTGAACTCTTGATTCTCACTGCTCAGCCACCCAAGCTGCTGGGATTTCAGGTGTGCACCACCACACCTGGCAAGACCACAAATTTATTTGTCATTATACTCAGATACTCAATCAAAAAGGAGGCTGAGCTGACATTGGATTGCAGAAGCCTGAACCAGGTAGAGAGGAACCAAATAAAAGGCTCCCAGGATCTTTACCTTTAAGGAGCTCATTTACAGAGACACAGATTCTAATCGCCCTTACCCTCATTGAATTCACGGCTCAGCTCATGGTTGGGGCAACGCTTCACCACTTCAGTGACGTGTTCGGCTTTCTTGTAGACAGGCATGGCACGGATGACAGCGCCCTGAGGAGGTGGGGTCATCACCTTGATCTGGATGGGGCATGTCTTTGCTATTTGGCAGTACAGTTTCTTCAGCTCGGTGGAATACTGCTTGGAGATGGGGCCAGAGGTGCAGGGAAGGAGAGAGCCAACAGGAGATATTGTTACATTCCAAATCACAACAGTCAAAGCATGCCCACTTTTTATAGGCTTTATAACTGCATATTACTGTTACAATATACATGATATTTGGCAATCGTATTAGAGGAAGTTATATTCATTAACCAAATTAAAACTTTTTTTTTACTCTGTAAACAAAATATTATGTTGCTAAAGGTAGCACATTTGTGCCATTATTTCCTACTATACTGTCTTTAGAATGAAGAAATCTAGGTTCAGAGGAGTTAAAAAAAAATAATGCCATGAGTAACTTCACTGCTTACCAGAAAATGAACAGAAATATAATACTTTCATATGCAGAGTGATACTGACCAATAAAACTATAAAGATAGCTTTGTGCTTAATAAATTATAATTAATTCTGCCCTTATAACTCTAGAGATATTCACAGGAATTGGTGTTTGTAGAATGCTTTTTTAAGACAGAATATCTGGAAGAGAATGAAGGTAATTTATCTGATGTCAAGCAGCTAGAATACTGTTAAGCATGAGCATAATGCAAACTATTGCACTGATCTTCTGATGTCATAAGCAAAAGAGAACGCAAGAGCTGGGAGAAGGCTTTTGTTTCTATGCTCCTCAAAATGACAGGCATAGTGTAACACAGCTGATCACAGCAATGAAAGGAGCCAGACGTAGCTCTTTTCCCTCACAGTGATTGAAGTTTCCTCCCCATTCTTCCTTCTTCAAGGAAAGGAAGTTCAGTGGAGGTTAGTTAGTTGGAAAACAAAAAAAAAAAAAAAAAAAAAAAAAAGAGTGAAGAAAGCATGAGACCTAGAACAAGGACAGCATGAGTCCCATCCTGCGTCCTGCACTGCTACCTTTTCTACTCTCTGAGACAGAATAAAAGCCTTCATGCTAATCTTTCACTGTACTAAACCTTGCTCTCTGGGTCTTCATTCTGACTCACTCAGATGTTGGGATAAAACCACCCAGGCACTGGAAATACTGGCCAAAAGTGGGGCACCTAGTAACATGTAACCAAACAAAGGGTAAACACACTTACAAGTTGCTGTCATCAGTCGGCAGCAACATCCTTCCAGGGGAGGGACACAGGAGAGCAGCAGCCAGAGTGGCAAAAAGATTCGTTATTGATAGTCTCACCCTAACTCACCCTAACTCAACCTGTAGGCAAACAGCCTAGCAAAGAGCACATTTTAAATGATCAATTTATCTCTTCCTTTTGAAATATAATGTTTATTTAAACAATATTTCTTTTTCTCTCAACCATTTCAGGCATATGAATTTTTCAGTTAAAGACTTCCTAGTGCTAGAAGAGTATTGTGAAATCAGTCCCCCATGCCTACAGGCTAAGGATTAAATGCAGCAAAAGAGTTTTACATAGCTGGGAGATACAGGAAACATTCCAAAAAAAAAAAAAAAATCAACCACAAAAATAAAATTCTACTTGGGAGAGACACTGAATAAAATGTAGATATATGTGTTTTGCCCTTGTGTTTTCAAATCATTACAAAGACATTGTTTTCAGACATATTAAGAGTTCACTTTTATGAAGAAGTCTAAGGCAGTAAGTTTCAGACATATTAAGAGTTCACTTTTATGGAGAAGTCTAAGGCAGTAAGTACATCCATCAGCATTTCAGTTAGGAGATAAAAGATACATAATTCTAACTATGAGTTTTTATCAAATGAACCTAACAAAAAATGACTGAAAAATCAGTCTGACAGCTATCACCTGAAGGCAAATATGGCATTCTTTCAAGTATGTAAAGATTGCAAAAAAAGAGTAATGTTCAGAGTAGGACAGTTTCTTAGGAGAAACATTCCATAGCAATAATTAATATACTATAAATCATATTTGACAGTCTAAAGTACAGAAGTACCAAGAATAAGGTTAGGTATCATCAAACACAAATCCTTGCTCACTCTCAGGGTAATGGTAATATAAGTTAGGTAATCTAAGTTATAAGTTAACTACCAATAATAGATTCACTAATTATTGAGTTCTGTTATTAGAAATTCAATACTCACAACTGCACTACAAGGAACATATTATAGGTATACAATGACTTAGTTGAAACCCTTGGGGCCAGAAATTTCAGAATTCAAAATTGCTTAGCAGTTAGAAGGGGAGTAAAGTTCATATATCAAATATGATAAATACCTCCATCAGCAATTAAAGCAGTACTCCATCATACCCAACATTAACATTTCTGTAAGATTCATAAATATTCACTTAGAGAGGGAAACCACGATAAAGCCTCACAGTTCAGGCTAGATTTCACTACCAAATCACAATGCCACAAAGTCAGAAAATTAAAACAAAACAATTTTGAGTTTTCAAAGCTCTTTGAATTTCAGAATTGCAGATAACAGATAATGAACCTGTATTTTATCTCCATTCTATAGATAAGAAAATCAAGGCATAGAGAAGACATGCCTGAGGTCACAAAGAAGATCTACTCTGTCCTTGTCATGTAACAACAGTAGGTTACCTCTCTATTCTTTCAGGTCAGCAGTACAAATTTTTGTACTTGTACATTTTTTCTAATTTACAACATTGTGGCTCTTCGAAAACTGAACTTCAAACATATACAATCTTCTCTAATGTTAAAATGGAGCTTAAAAGTATTCCACTGAACATCAATAATTTTGCTCTCTTTCTCAGTAAAATGTTTGCTTGTTTAATTTCAGGAAGAGGAAGCAAGTAACACAATTGAAAAAAAACCTGGGCCGGGTGAAAGTCTACCTGGGCTCTAGTGACTTCTAGTATGACTCTGGGGAATTTGAGAGTAAGAGCCTCCTTTTAGCAAGGTTTAGTAAGAACTTTATAAGGTATCCCCATCCCTCCAAACCCCTTCTCCTCTACTTTCCATTGCTTGTACTACCTCTACAAATTTTTATCGCAAGCTTTTTAAACATATCATACGGTTGCCACCCACAACTCAAGTGTGCCACCCTGTAGAATATTCCTGTTTTCCCTCAGTTCTCTATCCATGTCAGGGCAATGTAGATATTAAACCTAGTGAGGAATGCATCTCATGCTGCAGACCATATTTTCCAATGTTAGTGATGAGGGTTTCATATTTGAATAAATCAAAATACCTGACCAGGGCCAAGATGCCTTAAGTGTGCTGCTATTTACTAAACTAGAGGGAGTGAAGTGAACTGCCAGGATCTGTTCTTTACAAAGTCGAGTCTCTGCCCCTCAATTTGCTTTTTGTGGCAAGGTGGTTTTGTGATGACATTTTACATTTTTTCCAGTACGAAATTCAGTCTCCTTGACCTATGCTATATTAATAACTCCTTAGACTTGGGTCATATCATTTATTCCTTAACAAAAGCCCTTTATATCTTTTCTAATTTTCTAGGCTTCCTTGAGATTACAAAAACTGGAAATTGATTTACATCAAAATTTTTAAATGCTTTGTTGAGTCACGTTGACAAAAACTGTAAATTAGAACACCTATGAATTCTTTTAATATCTGTCTTTCTCTCTGGGATTTCTAAAACTCATCTCAAAATTGCTTCCTAAGATTGACCTGAGATCCTTTATTTCTAAAGCCTCATTTGCTTTCTTGCATGGGGATTTTGTTTTAATCAACTTTACTGATGTATAAATTTCCTGTAAAAACACCAATTTTTAACTATATAAGTTGATGACTTTGGACAAAAGTGCACAATTGTAGAATAACCACCACAATCAAGATACACAATGCTTCCACTCCCTCTCAAATTATCCTTGCCTCTTTGCTGGTAATCCTTCTTCAACCCCTGTGCCTGCTTTCTCAAACCATACTTTTACTTTTTCTAAAATATTCTATAATTGGAATAATACAGTATATAATCTTATGTGATGATACTTTTGAGATTTGTCCATGGTTTTGCATATATCATCATTCTGTTTTATCTGAGCAGAAATCTGTTAGTCTGCAATTTACAAATTATTTTTAGTCTGAATAAAACTATTATGAACAGGCATGCACAAATCTTTCAAAAGACATGTATTTTCATTTTTCTTGAATAAGTACCTAGATGTATGATTTTTGGGTAAGTGTATACTTAACTTTATGAGAAATTTCTGAAATGTTTTAATGTTTTACAAAGAGGCTATGCCATTCTACATTGCTGGGTTTCAAAGTCTTGCCAACATATGGTTGTGTGTGTTTTAATTCAGACCATTTTAATATGTATATAGCAGATTTCATTTGGGCTTAAATTAACTTTTCCATGATGATTATTATGTTGAGCATCTCTTCATGTACTTGTTTCATTTATCATTACATAAAATAAAAATAAACTTATATTCGTTTTATGTAAGTTTAGATATTCATTTTATATTCTTTTTAAGAGTAGCCAAATATTTTATACATTTTAGTTTTTTTTTTTTTTTGGAGGGCAGGGACGGGGGAGGTACCAGGGATTGAATTCAAGGGCACTCCACCACTCAGCCACATCCCCAGCCCTACTTTGTATTTTATTTAGAGACAGGTCTCACTGAGTTGCTTAGTGTCTCACTTTTGGTGAGGCTGGTTTTCAATTCGTGATCCTCCTGCCTCAGCCTCCTGAGATGCAGGGATTATAGGCACATACCATTGTACCCAGCTTAAAAATAGAACTCTTTTTAAATTGAATTTCTAGTTGTTCATTTCTAGTATATAAAAATATGGCTGCTTTTTATATTTGTAGCATGTATTCTGTTACTTTGACAAGTGTATTTATTTGTTCTAATGGCTTCATGTAGATAGATGCCTTATGATTTTCTACACATCAACTGCAAATAGTTTTACTTCTTTCAAATCTATGTGCCTTTTAATTTTAATTCTTACCTCACTGCATGAATTGATCAAGGGTTCAATATGCTATAGTTTCTTTTTTCAAATTAGAATCATAGATCATTGATTTCAGTTGGTCTTGTTTTTTTAATGTAAACATTTGATTCTACAAAGTTCCTTCTAAGCACACTTTAG